GTTGGTTCAAATACAAATTTTCACTTTCGTGCGGTCATTCACTACATTCATTCAATGTAGGTCGGCATATTTATGATTTCATGATTTCAGTGAACAATGAAATACTATGGAGTCTGGACTCACAATGGATTGTTAGATTGTTGGAAATCGCCCCAACTTTAACCGTTCGAAAGTTGTTTCATGAGCTTGTCAAACTCTTCACGAAGCTTCAAATAGTCTTCGAATAACCATCTGCACATCACGACTATGAAATGATTCATCGTAGCATCGTTTCAACGCAATAACCCCTTTTTACAATAATATATATGGCCCATACGAAATTCGGGGTTTCTGCTTGGTAAATGAGTGTGTTTTCGGGGTCACCCGGCCGTCCGGTGCGGTCAATGAAAGCAGGGTTTCATGCCCGTTCATTGGGTGGTTTTCTGGGGTTTAATTGAAGAGGCATGGAAGGCATCAAGTCTCTTCGACAAGTTCACAAATCCCGGCATTGAGCCGTCATTATGGGTGCTTTTTTGGGTTTTGCTATCCCCTGGTACGTGGCCACAGTACCGTCAGTACCGTGGTACATACCTACTACCAAGGACTGTGGGAAACGAAAAACTGAAATCTCGGGATCAAAGTCATGCACATGGAAACCATACGTGAAGATGGTCACGTCCCGAAACCGCTGCATGTCCGGAATGGCATTGCGGCCCAACTTATAGAAACTTAAATATGATGTCATTCAAATTGCTGGCCATGCATATTTCAATCTATGTTCAAGGAAGCACGAAGCATGGAGCAGAGTCGTACTAGCTTTGTCTACTCTGTGAAAAGGGTTGCCGAGTCTGCCACGGAATCCAACAGCACGGAGCTACTAATGAGGTCTAACTTTTCCTATACTAGGACAGACTGTTGTAACCTACTCAAGGACCCATGAGGGTACCCAAAAGCGCAAGACTTGGACCACTCGACCTTCGTTTGCAGCAACTATATCAATGTCCGATTTGCATCATGTATTAGGTATGCTGATCAATGAACTCGCATGATGCAATTGCACTTACGTAATAATATTTTGTACCATGGTCGCATTGTGCCAAGGATTGTCCTGCGTTGATATCCATTTACCCTGGACCGCGCTATAACCTGGTTCAGTGCCTTGCTCCCAGCCACCCTTTGCGACTTCCCTGACACAGAATGGAGCTGGCCAATCGATCCTTGATTGCAGCTTTCTAGCCGAGTGTAGCATGGAAGCTATTTGAAGAGATGAGGTGGGCCGCTCTCTATCGAACCTTAGGGATGGCATCTCACATCGTGCTCAACAGCATGAGGCGAGCTTCTGAAATTGTTTGCAGCCGGTCCGCTCAGCCGTGATGCACTCTGCAACTCGGAAACACGAATGTAATCTCCTTTGTCAAAAGACGCAAGTTAAGAACGCAAGCATCATATTAGCGGCCCCGCTCTCCACTTCCCATCAATCAAAAACCCGTTTCATGCTGTGACAATGAGGACCGTGGCGGGAAGGAATGGTTTCACAATCTTGATGGGAAGGCTTTTGCACAAATCGTCCAACTAATTCAGACGCTTACATGTTTTACAAGTGTTTTACATCCTCATTGCCCAGGTCCCCGGCCCCCAAAACCCCCTCCGCGCCCACCGAGTGCCCCAGGTCCCCGCCCCTGCAGCACACCACAGCAAGGCCGTGAATGTCAGCAGATTCCGCTCATAACTTTGTTGGAATAACAAACTGCATGCAACGACTGCGCGGATCTCTCACACCAGCCTGGCCGGAGTGCCCCCTCCTGGCAGCACGGCTTGCTGCCCGCTCACCTTGGTTCGCGTGGCCATGGCCCGGCCGCGCCCCACGCCCAGCCCGCTCACGCCCTGTTTCTGCACACCAGCCCACAGCCAGCAAAAGTGAAGCCAAGGCACAGGGTGCAACATGGCTGCTCGGACAGCAGCAAGCGCTGGCGCTCTATGCGGGTATGGCAAACCAAGCAAGGAAGGAAGGCCCAGGTAACAAGCAAGAAAGGGAGGCCCGTCCAAGCAATTGGGAGACTTTAGTGCCAGAACAGTAGAGCAACAAGCATAACAAGCATGGGGGGCAGCCTGCAGAGGTGCAAGCACGGGGTGACATGGCAGTGCACAGGACAGGAGGGGGAAGGCACACATGCACGAGGGCTTACCTTGGTCTTAGGATCTATTCGCTTGAACATGGGGGCATTCTTGAGCATGTCAGGAATGATCAGAAACCTGCAGGGACACGCTCACTCTCATTGTGAGGGAGCGAAGGCAAGCAAGTGCGCCTGATATCATCTATGAGATGCAGCACAAGATAGACAAGTCAAGGCTGATGCCGGAACCATGGGACAAATCCCCCACGTCCAAAGAAGAGCAGACCGCGAACCACCGCCTGCTGGTGAGTGCACTGGCCTTGATCACCTTTCAAGCAAGCCACCAAGAGCTCACAAGACATGCGGAGGGCAGGCGCACCTGACTTTGCTCCCCCGGATGAACACATGCTCCAATTGGCCCACCTTACCATCCTGCACACGCACGGGCGCTGCGCTCAGCCAGAGGGAAACGGAGCAGTCAAGGACCCGCTGGGATGCGGTGCCTCATCCTTCAGCCTGCTTCATCCCAACCTTGACAGCCTTGCAGGATGTGCAGCACACTGTATGCCTGGACACAGCAAGTGCCTGAATAACGTGCCAGGCGCAGTATGCCTCTCCTCACCTTGGCTGTGTGCGTGATGTTTTCTAGCTGCACGTTCCAGTTGTCCTCTGCCTCGATGAGCGTGCCGCGGTATGTCTCCCCGCTCTTGATCTCCACCGTTACCACGTGGCCCTCTGCCTCGTGCAGCAGCTTCACCGGGATGCCCAAGCTCTTGCTCATTGCGCCCGTCGGGCCTCCCAACAGACTGCGCCCGGTTCAATTTTTAAAACGAGAGGAGAGCAAGTGCTTGCACAATTGGCGGCGTCCACCTTACCTGCCGTGCACTTTTTCAATTTTCCCACTGCCTGAGGCTAGCTAAAGAGATGCAGATGGCTCCTCGCCAAAATGGTGGTTAGGCGCATTCGTCAGCAGCTGCGAAGACGTTGACGCTTCCTTCTCGCGTCGATAAGCTCCGACTTCGACTCCGAGTCTTCAAGTTCCACAGCCAGAGTCACTCAGCGCGTCTGCAGCACTCAGACCAGTGACTCCGAGTCGCAGCACTCTCAAGTTTCGAGTTGTGGAGCTTCGGCGACCACTTGAAGCCATCGATGCATTTAACCGGGACCTTCTGCGTGGTCTAAGACTGCAAGGTGCTGTGGTCGGCTAGGCCAGCTCGGGAGGTTGCTTGTCGCCCAGATTTGCTTTGCTTGCACATGAAGATCCCTTACTCCGACTCGAGTTCGTGCGACGACTGAGCGCGAGGGACCCCCCTTCAGCAGTTCCCTCATGCGTAGTGTTGTACATGCATGCTTTTGTGATTCGCCAATGCAACGAATATTCGTAGAAACGTTGTGTGAAACTCTTTTGGCAGGCGCGGCAGGTGGGCGTGACGTGCCTGCATTGGCTGCTGCAGCTCGCAGATTGTGCTGCTCCATGCTCGCCGCTCCACCCCCCTGCCCTGAATGATGGTGCGGGTGGTGTGGGCACAGATGCGCATTCTTAGCGGCACCACAAACAGGATGGGTGCTGGGAGCCCCAATTGCTCATAGAGGTTCCATACAGGAAATAGTCATCAGGTCAGGGTCAGGTTTGAGCAAAGAGCATGGCGGGTCAGCAAGGGGCGTTCCGACTTCCTGCGGCCCGCCTGACCAACTTAGCGCATCCAGAGGTCTTTCAGTTCTTTCCCGTGCCCTCTCTTCCTGCCAACTTTGGGGGGGCCTGCCATGCGTCCCTGTCCCCGGAGGGCCACCCCAGTGGCCCTTCTCCGAGCAGCTCCGCAGTGGAGCATGGAATAGCCCACCTGCTGAGGGAGGCGGACGTTAGTTACCTGTGAGCCAGCGCCGCCAGCCTGCTCGCCAATTGCAGGGATGAACAAGTGGATGGGCCGTGTGCATGAGTGCAGGCACCAGAGTGGCACTGGGCGTGACATGCCGTCCCATCCTTGCGTGCAGGTCCCTGAAGGCCTCCCTGCCTTTTCTTCCGTCTCCTCAACCATCAACACGGCGAGTGGCGTTGTTGAGCAGCAACCCTGGGATCTTCCAATGCATGCCAAAAAGTAAGTTGAAACTTCACTCAACATCGTAAGAGGCTTCAAGCCGAGTTGTTCGCTTGGTCCTCAGATCGCAGCCCCAGCGTGCGTCTAGTGCTCTTGGAAGCGCTACCCGTCAGCCGTCTGACCAGTGCCCCTTGGTGCAGCCCCTGGCCGCTTGGACCGCGCGAGCGTCCCTGTTGCAGTGGTGCGGCCGCTTCCGCCCGCTGATGGGCCGCCCCTCCTGCCTCAGGGGACTGTGCGAGCAGCCGAGCCCCAGAGTGGCCCCCGCCTGCGCCCTGACCCCTGGGTGAGCACACACAGCGCCCGCTGCCCGCAGGGCGCCAGGAGAGGGCCCTTGTGTGCGGCAGGCCGCTAGAGATGCCCTCTGGCCCCCTGCAGCTCCCGCCTGGCGCTCCTGCTGCCCCTCACTGCTGCCCTTGCTTGCCCGCGCAGGCAAGCTCTGCGCAGGAGGATGAGCCCCTGATGCGCCCCCGCACCAAGAAGAGGAGGTCCGCCAAGGCGCCCCACCCCGCTTTCGTGCCCAATGAGGACAGCCCTGCTCCAGGTGACGCCCATGGCAAGGGCCGCACCAGCACCCTTCTGGGGAGCGGGTGACCGCCACATGACCTGGGTCGAAACATCCTGTGCGCGAGAGTAGTTCCGAGCTGTTGTTTTCGCATTTAAACTTCCCTTGCTTGTAATCGTTCTCTCAAGGCTTACAGTGCATCTAGCATGACGAGCTCCTTTTTCCGATTTCTTTGAAGAGCGCTAGTGCCAGCAAGTCGAGACTTCAAGACAGCTCTCCCCATGTTCCCTCTTCTCCCCCCTGGCTGCCTGCAGACCGCGGCGCGGCTCTGCTATCTCTGGTGGGCCAGCTGCTGGAGCCGGAGGCGGCGCGCGGGGACCGCCTCGGCGCCTGCCTGACGCACGAGCAGCTGGCGCAGCTGGCCGACGCGGTGGCCGCCCTGCGCGCGCAGCAGCGCCTGGCGACAATGCCGCTGCCGCCCCTGCTCCAGCTCGTGCTCGCCCTGGACCGCCACGTGCGCAGCGCCACGCACGCCGGCGCAGTCGACGCAGGGGTGAGCGTGCGCGCTCCGCGGCAGCATGCCACTCTGTTTGCAGAGGATGGGGCGTTGGATTGGGGCAGAAGAGAGTTGGTATACAGGACCTGGGTCTGCTGCACCTGGGAATAGTTGTTCCTTGTCTTACTATGCCAATCGCTGCAAGTGCAAGAAAACTGTTTTCCTTGTCATGCTCTTGCCTCTTTCATGCCCTCCTCGACCTTCCCCCCTCCCCCTCCCCCTCCCGCAGGTGGACCCTGGTGGCGGTGGCGGCGTGCCCCTGGCGGCGGAGGCGGCCCACCTGCTGCTGCTGCTCTTGGCCACGCCCGGCATGCCGCCGCAGCTGTACGTGGAGGAGGTGCGCAGCAGCCACCCCCAGCCCACGAGTTGACGTCACTGCCTGGCAAGTGTGGGGTGTCGGCGCGCCACGCAGCCATACCTGGCTGCAGGACACTCCTGGCTCACTGTGCATGAGGCGCCCCTCGTGCTGATCTGCCGTTCTCCCTGGCGCAGGTGATTGAGGGCCTACTGGCGTTCCTCAAGTCTGCAGCTACGACCGTGGTCTTCCCCGCCTTCGACCCCGCGTACGCAGCGCAGGCGTCGCAGGGGGCCCGCCCAGGCAAGCCGCTCTTGCTGTGTGGGGGGCACCTTATGTACCGCTCTCGCTGGTCTGCAAAAAGAGGGCCTTTTCTGTTCCAGGTTCGAAAGAACGTACCTTTTGTCACATAAAAGCCTGTTCCTCCAACAAAATTACATCTGATACGGACTGTGTCGGTTGTTCACTTTCAGAGCCCTGTTTGGCCTGACCCCCTTCTAAGCCCGGTGCACCTGCGTGGGTTGGTGCTGACTCGGCCGTGCCTCGTTGCTGCCGTGTGCCTCCTCCAGCTGAGGGCGACGACCCGGCCGACCTGCCCCGCGAGGCAGGCGCCCCCTTCAAGGGACGCGGCGCAGCCGGCCAGAAAGGCTCGTCACTCAGGTGCTCCTCCATTTCGTTGCTCACCTGCCCTGGTCCCGCCTGTCTGCCTGCCTGTCTCTCGCTACCATCTGATGTCGCTGCTGGTGGCGGCCCCGCGGCGGCCCTCCGATCGTCCCCATTGACCTGCCGCACCGTGGCACCTTTCAAGCGGATCTCTCCCCTCCCCGCCTCACCCTACCCGCAAAATCCTCCTGCTCACCGTGGCGCTTGCCCCTCCTCTTCTCTCTCCCGGCCTGCTGGGCCCCTCACGCTGCTCCGCCCTGGTCGTGTGCAGTGCTGGCCCTGGCGGCGCGGCGCTGCTGCCGCGGTTGTGCAGCCTGTACGAGCTGACGGCGCGGCTGCTGGCGCTGCGGCGGCTGCAGGACAGCGTGGTGCTGCAGCTGGCCAAGCTGGCGCTGACCACGCTGACGTGCGACAACCTGCCGCTGCTGCACCTCAAGGCCATCGCGCTGCTGGCCGCCGTGAGGCGCCCCCCTCCGCTGCGGGACGGGCCTCACCCACTGCAGGCTTGTTGCGGGCTCCTGCCGCAAGTTTGCGTAGAGTACACGCACGCCTGTGCATTGAAACTCACGCTTCTTTTCGATCTCGTGTGTTCGTCTGCCGCGCAATCCACCGCTCCCCATCTCCCCCCGCAGGTGTTTCGCTGCTACCCTGCACACCGCCTGCTGCTCATCGAGGACGTGGCCGCCCTGGTGTGGCGCACCCCGGCTGGCAAGCGCGGCGCGGCGCGCTACCACGTTCTGGGAGAGGCGGGCCAGCAAATCGGGGTGCCGGCCGCCGTGCTGCTGCATGCCGTGCAGGCCTGCGCCGTCCTCCCGCGCGCGCACGCGTGGCCCGGCGAGGAGGAGCGCGCGCGCGCCTGTGCCGGCGTGTACGAGGGCGCCACCGCGGTGGCCACGCACTTTTGGCGCGTCGTGGTGCCCAAGTGGGGCGCGCTCAAGGGCCCCGACAGCGCGGAGCTGCGCAGCGCCATGGACGGCCTCACCGCCGACCTGCGCGCCATGCTCAACGCGCCCGAGTTCCCCGCAGCGGGCCTGCTGCTGCAGGTGAGGCGACACACGCAACGGACGAGGGGCCGGGCACGCCAGCGAACACAGCTGCGCTAACAGTCTTGAGGCCGTCAACGGAGACGTGTTTGGGTTCCATTTATAAAGCTCCATCTGTAAAGGACGTATGGTTGACCAGATCTGAAGGGCGAGGTCTTGTTGTCTTGGAACCGCCGCCGAAGCTTGGTGCGGCCTTGCGATGGGACCCGTTGCTCTCCCCCCCCTCTTGGTGCTGCGCAGGTATTGGCGTCAGTGCTGCTGTCGGAGGTGGGCGTGCAGTCGCGCGACGCGGCTGTGCGCGGGCTGGCGCTGGACGTGCTGGGGGCCGTGGCGGCGCAGCTGCAGGCGGACGCGGCCGCGGACGCGCAGCACCACCTCTGGCTGCTCTTCCAGTACGAGGCCCCCGCGCAGCCCGGCGGCGTGTGCGAGGTGTGCGAGCAGGAGCTACACGGGGCCCGCCCGCTGCGCTGCGCGGCCTGCCCGCGCCTCTTCCACAGCGAGTGCCTGGGAGGGGCCCCGCCGGAGGGCCGCCGCTGGCTGTGCGCGCTGTGCGAGTGCAAGGAGCAGCTGGCCGCGCTGGGCGTGCCGCTGGCGAATGGGGACGCGGGCGGCGACGACGAGGCGGCCGCGGAGGAGCAGGTGGCGCTGGTGCAGCAGGCGCTGCTCAACTACCTGGCGCACCATGCGCAAGCCGACCCCGCCATCGCCTCCGCACGAGAGTGAGCGCGCCGCACCGCATGCGCAAGCACACCCACGCATGTGCTCCCTGCAGGAAGACGAGACACATCGTCTAGCGCGTTTCGCCTGCTACCCCAGTGCCTCGCTTGCGTCTCCCCCCTCCCCGATCCAGCTCCCACCGCCCTCCTTCGGCCTGCCCCCCCTCCCTGCAGGTTCTTCCTGTGCCAGTGGTTCCACGACGCGCCGCAGGAGCAGCTGCCATTGTACGAGGCACGCCTCGACGCGCCCCCCCCGCCGTTGCGGCGCGGCAGCGGCCCGCCGCCGCTGGGTCGGCCCACGTTCGTCCAGGTCGCGCGCGCGCTGGGCCAGAAGCGGCCGCTGCAGAGGGGCCTCGACATCATACGGAACGCATTTCTGGGGAGCCTTCAAGAGAGCAGCCCGACGATACGAGCCAAGGGGCTGCGAGCGGTGAGCACCGGCAGGGCGAGCATGGCAACGGGATGACAGGGCCCGGCCTGCGTGTGCTTCAGAACAGCCCATCTCCAGGCATGGCTGGCTTTGACAGCCGAGTGCTCCTGCACTTGGGCACAACCTCACAAGCCGGATTGCGCAGCATGCTCACAGGCCACCCCTCGGCACTAGTCCGACGTCTTGAGCCGCGTGCGATTCCCTTCTCTCTGCCCCGGCTCCCCCGCCTTGCTCCCCGCCGCGCTGACCTGTGATGTGTGTGCGTGCGTGTGGCAGCTGGGCGGCATGGTGGCGGAGCGGCCGGCGCTGCTGCGCGAGGGCGCGGTGCAGGCCGCGGTGGAGGGCCGCTTCCTGGACGCCGCCATCAGCGTGCGCGAGGCCGCCATGGAGCTCGTCGGCAACTACGTCACCACCGACCCGGAGCTCGCCAACCAGGTGCGGCCCACCGCGCACCGCCGCCCTGCCACCGCGGGGGGGGCGAGCTGTCGCCTGCACATTGCTTGACAAGGTCGTCCTTGAAAAATGCAAATGTCCGAAAAGCTCGAATTAGGCTGACACTTGACAGCGAAAGCCAAAATATCTTCCAAGATTACTTTTGCTTCCAAGAGCGGAGGCGCCAGTGTGACAGTTGAAAGTTTCCCCTCCGCTCCCTGGTGGACATGCAGACACCCGGCTGCCCTTGCTCGCCCAGCCTCGGCTCTTGTGTCTCGTAGCTCCCTTCCGCTGCTTCCTTCCGTTGCTTCGCCCCCCCCCCCTTGCCTCACCCTCCGCTGGTCCCCTGCTTGCAGTACTACCCGCACATCGCGGAGCGCATCCTGGACCTGGGCGTCAGCGTGCGCAAGCGCGTCATCCGCATCCTGCGCGCCGTGTGCATCGACGACGCGCGCTCCCCGCACCGCGTGGACGCCTGCGAGCGCCTGCTCACGCGGGTCGCCGACGAGGAGGCCTCCATCCAGGTGAGGGACGGGAGGGAAAGCGGGCGGACCTTCGGGTCAGATTGGGGTCGGAAGGACGATGCTCTCGTGAGCAGACTTCTCTGAGTTGCCGCGAAGGATGGTCCTTCTGTGCTCCAGGCCGGCCTGGCCGCGGCATGCATCTTCTCCGCGAGCCCGCAGCTCCTGCGGTGGCCGCCTCAGTCGTGGTCCCAGCTGTGACCGCTTCGCGTGCTGGCCTGCGTGCAGGACATGGTGATGAAGACGTTCCACGGCGTGCTCTTCTCTCCGCTCGACGCCGGCGGCGGCGGCAGCAGCCTGGAGGAGCGCTGCGCGCTGCTGGTGGCGCTGCTGCGGTCGCCGGGCAACCAGCAGCCCCTCGTGGCGGCCGTCAAGCGCTGCCTGCTGCAGGTGAGGCAGCCACAGCGACGGGAAGCGAGGGGCCGCCCGCCGGAAGATGTGACAGTTTGCGAAATGTATGCCTTGGAAGAAGTGAAACTGTAAGCTTGGGACGGTTGAAAAAACCTGAGGAAATGAGGAAGGTATGGGAACGAAGCAAGTCATTTCATGGATGGGCAACCCAGTGTCAACCTGAGCTTATGATTTCATGGATGGGCAACCCAGTGTCAACCTGAGCTTATGATTTCACAGTGTCCCATCATCACCGCCATCGCCAATGTACGCGACGCTCGTTACCAGCAAGCTTACTAGCAGATGGCAAGAGAGAGGTCTCTGAGTGGCCCGTGTTTATCGGGCGTGCTCTGGCATGCTTGTTCCACGGTCTTCCTCTTACTCGGTACCCTTGCTCTCTCACGCCGGGCCTCACCTCCGCAGGAGACGCCGGCTGGAGTCGCTGGTGGCGCGGGCGCGGTGGACCCCGCGGTGCGGCGCGTGTGCGAGGCCATGTGCCGGCAGCTGCTGGAGAGCATCCTGCAGGTGCGCACACCCACCACCGCCGCCGCACCCATTTGGTCCGATATCTCCCGCTTGCTGTTGGTTTCTAGAGCGATTTTGGGTCCCTGCAGGCGTCATCCTGATCTTGGGGCGTGACTGTGACTTGAAGCCTCTTATAGTGAGCCGTCCATCGTTTGAGGACCTTGAAGTTCGTAGAATCTTTCTGGTAATAAGCTGCTGATGCGCTCGTGTTGCCCTTCGGCCCTTCGGAACTGCAGCATCGAAGTGTCAAACTTTTGTGCTTCAAACGAATCATTGTGTGCGGAGAAGTTGGGCACACGGGTCCCCGGCCACTGCGGGTCTGGCTGCCGAGCCGTCCGTCCCGGTGTGCAGATCGAGGAGGGCGCCTCTGCGGACACGGCCGCGCTGCCTCACGTGCTGGCGCTGCACGCCTTCTGCGACGTGGACCCGCTCCTCTGCGCTCCCGCCACCGACCCGCTGCGCACGGTCGTCACGCTGCAGCCGTACCTCCAAACGGAGGTGAAGCAACACACCCGGGAAAGGAATGCAATATGGTAGCCTGCACGTTGCGCTTCGTGTTTGATCAGTCCTTAGCACTCGCAAGAGTTTCAAAACCTGCCAGCATAGTGTCGAAGTCGGCAGCCTCTTGCATATTCCTGGAGTCCACTTCTGGCGCCTTCTCCCCCCCACAACAAATTGAACCTCTCGCCCGGCTGGCGCGTCGGCGTGTGCAGGCCGGCAGCCGCAGCGCGGGCCAGCTGTGCGCGGCGCTGCTGGACATTTTTGCGGCGGTGCTGCCCCTGGCGCGGCCACCCGCGTGGCTGACGGCGGCGCTGGAGCAGAAGCTGCGCACCTGCGTGCAGCGCCAGCCGTACCTCACCGTCGTGCACGCAGCCATCAGGTGGGCACCCCGCGCCCGGTGCGACTTCCGAGCAGGGACACCCTACGCTTCCAGCAAACCTTGACAACGAAGGATTACACTGTCGAGACCCTGCTGTCAAATTCACACAAGCAGCGTGACGGGTTCATCGAAGCCGCCGTGCGCGGGCCGCTTGATCTGACCGACCAGTATTGGTGGCTACCACAGGGAGCCACCTAGGAGCAGTCCTGCTGTTCCAAGAGCGTTGGTAGTGGCGAACAGATAACAAGTCGGATACGTCGAGCGCCACGTGAGCCTGTGCTGATGGTCGTCTCGTGCGAGCTGCGGGGTGGAGGTTCCGGTTCCGTACTTGCTTCTTGGCGTGGTGCGTGCCCGTGGCCCAGTCTCACCTTCTGACCCACCCCCCCCCCCCTCCCGTCGTTGCAGGTGCTTGTGTGCGTTGGGTTCGGTTGCGGAGCAGGGCTTGTCGGGCCTCCAGCATCTCCTGAGCAGCCTCTTCGAGTTTCTGACCAAGCAGAAGAACGCCGGGTCGGAAGCCGCCAACGGCGCAGTGAGTCCCCTCGCCCGCGGTGCGGAGCATTTTTCCTGCTCGTGCTCATGCTCGTGCTCGTGCAGCAGTGGGCCCGCGTGGAAGCACATCCGCGGAGGCAGGGCGGCATGCTGACCCGAGCCCTGCTGTTCAGAGTAACCGCTTTGCTCGGTGGCTCCTCTGCTGAGCGCCGCTTGCGTGTTGCGGCAGACTGTGGCGCGGTGCCTGTACTCGCTGGGCGTGCTGTGCCGCTACGGCGCGTACGCGGTGGCCGACGCGGGGCCGGGCATCGCCTGGGGCGGCGTGCTGGAGCTGTACCGCCACTTCCTCGCGTCGTCCACCTTCGACGTCAAGCAGCGCGCGCTGCAGGTGGGCACACCACCCACTCTGGCCCACGCAGGGCCGCCCGGGAAAGTCCACCGGATCTACTTGCGGCGTCTGCACTGCTGCCTCGCTGACAAGACGAAAAGAGCCCCAGCACGTCTGTTGGAAGAAATGTCTGGGAAGGGTAAGGACGAGACACCGTTTCTGGTTTTGTGCGGCAGGGGTTGGGGGCCGTCTTCTCGGCTCGCCCGCGGCTGATGATGGCGGGCGGCATGGACAAGCTGCTGCAGGCCACGCTGTCGCGCGGCGCCGACCAGCGCCTCAAGGTGAGCCACCACCCGCAAGAGGCCACGCCCGGACGCGCTGCACCGGGAGCAGCGATCTGATCCCCCGACCCGAAGTGCAGGGCTTTGGGTGTGGGACGTCGTTCGTTCGCTTTGAAGACCCTCGAGACTGTCGCAACTGTGGTCGGACTTTTCTTCCGACTCATCTGCGATTCTGTGTTGTGTGCATCCCAACGGGGTATGTCAGCGGCAGAAACAATGCACTGGGGGGCCTCCCGGTACCTCTCGTGTCTCCATGTTCCCTGAGGTGTGCTGCGTCCTGCCAGCCTGCCAGCCCCTCTGCTCGCCTGACTGCGCCACTCTCTGCGGCCTCGCGGTGCAGGTCCAGACCCTGCGCAACTTCCACGACTTCCTCGTGTGCATTGAGGACGGCATGAAGAGCAGCGCCGACGCGACCCCGGCCGCCACCGCGCAGCGCGCCACTGCAGCGGTGAGCGGCGCGCCTGCCCCCCTGCCCAGCACACCCTCGCCCGCGGCGGGCCCTCATGCTTTCCGCCAGAAAGACTCGCTGTCATGTGGCAAGCCGCTGATTGGTGCGGATGGGGGTGTAGGCGCGGTGTTCTGTCCGGAGACCAAGGCTTGGTTACTCCAAAGCAAAGCCGATGCCGCGCATTGCTGATCCTATTCCGCCCTTGCAAGTAAAGCGAACTTGGTTTGGGTTGTGATCTCAATGTCACTTTCTCTTGTGCACCAGTAGTCTCTATTGCAGCTGCGTTCGGGATTTTTTACCAAGCTTGATTCAGATATTCGGTCAACTTTCAATCGGAAGCGGGAACCTGGTCGAGAGCAAGCTTGGTCCATCTTTGAGCCGCTTCGAGACCTCTTCGAAACCTCTGCAGTATACTTCTTTCACTTATGCAGCAAGCACCTGTCCCGCCTGCAAGGTGCTATCGTATCCCTATAAAAGGGAGCTTGCCATATAAACGTTTGTGCCGGGTCGCAGGGTGCCGCGGCCGAGGCTGTCCCCACCACGGCAGGCGCCGCCGACAAGGTGGATGCGGGGATCGCCGGGGGGATCATCCAGACCCACTGGAGCCGGGTGCTGGAGCGCTGTGGGGACCCCGCGCCCGAGGTCCGGCACGCAGCGTTGAAGGTGAGGGGAGGGGCGGCCCCTCCTGCCTGTACTGGCGCTGCACGCCGACTCCCCAGGCTTGCGTCAATACAAGCGCATTGTGTGAGAGGTCGTCCATGAGAATCCTGAACAGCTGCTCCCATGGTCGACCAGGGAGGCTTTCTCGGCCCGTCTATTCCCCCCCCTCGCTGGCCGTGTTGCAGGTGGTGGAGCTTGCGCTGCGGCAGGGGTTGGTGCACCCCATGACGGCCGTGCCGCCCTTGGTCGCGCTGGGCATGGACACGCACGCCGCCACCGCCAAGCTCGCGCACCAGCTGCTGGCGGCCATGTACCAAAAGTGAGCCCGCGCCGCGAGCGCTCGCCCCGTTTGTGCAACCTGCAGCTCATGGCCGTGTGCGTGGCCCCTCTGACTGTCTCCGCTCGTGTGGGCGACAAGACGACAGCGTGAGCTTGGCTACTTCGGCGGGAGTGCGTAGCTTGGAACAGCCTCTTGCATGCACGCTCGCGGTGCGGCGCTGTCCGGCTGTGGTGCGACGTTGTTGTGTGGTGGTGCAGGCACCCGGACTTTGTGGAGAGCCGGCTGGGCGACGGGCTGCAGGCCGCGTTCCGCATGCACGCCGGGCTGGCGCGCGACGGCCGCGGCGGGCCTGTTCCCGGGGCGGGCCTGGGCGGGGTGTACGCGCTGTGCCGGGCCACCAAGGGCGCGCGCAACAAGGTGCTGCACTCCATCGTGCACAAGTTCGACACCGCCGCCGACGACCTGCCGTTCCTGCAGTGAGTGCCCGCACATGTCTCCATCTCGCCCACTCGCGCGCTGCCCACTGCCCGCGGCAGGCTCCTGTCGGCTGCTCCTGTCACGGAGGAGCGGGGACTCCGCGCGTCCTGAGCTGGTCTGCGGACAGCGGCCCAGGCGCGGGCCGCTCCTGTCCAGAACTGGACACGGGGTCCTGGGGCAGGCCACCACGTGGCGTGCCGGGGGTCTCGGGGGGGTCTCGGGGGCGGCGGGCGTCTTTTCTCCGGAGAAGATGCCGCAATAGCGGACGCTGAACATTTAAGAGCTCGTGAAGGGGCCGTCTGACTTGCGGGTTGAGATGCGTCGCCGGTGTCTACTGCTGGGCACACGGGTTGCCATTCCCGGCTCCAGGGACGGGTCGCGCTCACTCGTGACGCGTGAAGGCTCATTCGTCTCGAGGTATCGCCGAAGTGTGGGCAACGGCAAACGGGGCGATGCATTGAAGCGTGCAATGCACTCTTCTCCTCCCCTGGGGTTGCTCTGCAGCATCTTGAGCTGGTGCTGCCTGTGGTGCAGCTTCTGCGCCGCGGCGTTGGCGGGCCTCCCGTTCGCCACCCTGGACGAGCCGCTCTACCTCATCTACAGCATCAACCGCACCCTCCAGCTGCGCGCCGGGGCGGCACTGGCACAGCTCAAGGCGGCGGTGCTGGGTGAGGAACAACGCCAGGCGGCGCCATGTCTAGTTCTTGGCAGGCCAAGGCGCCTCGAGAGGGCCGTGGCATGCGCGGCCGATCCTCCGTCCTCCCCTTCCTCCTCCGAAGGTGCCGTCTCGCTGGGTGCGAGGACACCCGGCAGGGGCCGGCGTGGCGAGCATCCTCATCCGTACAGGAAAATCAACGTTGAGCTGCTGTTTCGCTCACCCGTCGCATGAAGCGCCGCACCTGTTCGTTTGACGACTTCTATTGTCCCTGTGCGTTGCAACTTCCTCATGACAGTCGCTGCGGCCGTCTCCCCCGCAGGCGCCGGCCCGGTGGCTGCTGCCGTACGCGCGAGCGTGGCGGCCGCGGAGCGCGAGGCGGAGGAGGCGGCCCTCAGCGTCTACTCCGACGTGGACCCCGCCCCGCCGGGCCCCGCCCAGCACCCCGCGGCCGACGACCTGGCGGGCCTGCCGCGCGACGACGTGGACGCAGTCAAGGTGAGCCACGCACCCCCCAGCGGGCGGCTGGGGGACACACGGTGCCGCGGCTGCAGCAGCCCCGCTGTGCGGACTCCTGGCTGCGGGCCAAATCGTCCGCCGTATTGGCAACGAGCACGTGGCACAACCTTGGAGGTGCAAAGGGAGCGACGTGTCGCTTGGATGGTTACTTGTGTCCTGTTTCTGCGAGCGGAGCACGTGCATCCGCGTGGCCTTTGACTGCGTATCTGGACGGCCCCACCCACTGCCTGTGCGGCTCCGCCACTGGAGTCCGTTCCTGGCGCTGTTGTCGATACCTCTCCGCTCTCCGCGTCTCGACCCGTGGGGGCGCGGCCGGTCACCCTTCCTTTGCCGTCTTGGGTGCAGGCCGAGTCGGGCGGCGCGATGGCCCTCTCGCTGCTGCTGCTGCTGAAGCGGTACCTCAAGATGGCCTACGCGCTGCCCGACGACCGCTGCGCCGCCTTCTCGCCCACCGACCCCGCGCGCACAGCCGAGCCGGCCGCGCCGCGCGACGGCGTGGGGCCCTTCGACGCGGCGCTGCTCCCGCTGCAGCCCGTGGCGACGAGCAGGGACTTGTGGCAGCGATACAAGGTGCGCGCGAGCAGGCACAGGCACAAGCTGGAAGCCTGGAAGGACAGGAGTGCATCCGTGACAGTCGAGCGTTTAATTCTCGGAACCTGCGAATCATGTGACAACCTCGGCGACGACTTACAACCTTCTATTTCTGTATGAGAAGCATTGCTTCTTGAATAAAGTCAAGAAATCATGGCATCCCCGTATGTACTGCGCGGGGAATTGTCCATGCTGTAATGAAGCGTATGCATATCCACTTTGGGCGCTTACGAGTTGGCCGTTGCCTAACTGCACTTCGTGAATCCCCTTACCGGTTTGCAGGTTTTCAAAAAGCTCATGAAGGAAGATGCCATCGATTACGGAGCCTTCGCCGTCCCCAAGTCGAAGAAGCGAGCATCCGCAGCACGGGGGGAAGCGGGCAACGGGGAGGGCACCCCGGCAGACGGCGCAGCGCCGGCCTCAGGCTTGCCCGGGACAAAGCGGCCACGGGCGAAGAGCATGGGGCCAGCCAAGCGAAGGAAGAGGCGGAAACGTGGGGATGATGACAGCGACCTCGAGGATGAGATGGAGCAAGACAATGACGCCGCGACAGAGGACGGGCCGTCTCACAAAGAAGGATGGGACACGAAAGGGAGGAGGAGGCGACAAGTTGCGGAGAATGCTCGAGCATCGTTGTGACGATGGTCCGAGTCAAAACCTCTCAATTGCTAGACATTTGACCCCCACTATGTCCAGCAAAATCCCTTCGTCCTGGCAAGTGTCAAACCACATCCGATCGGGCTGGCTGGCGTCATCGTTGAAATGTGGAGCTTGCATATGCGACTCCAAATGCAGCCTGAGAATGGACTGAGTCTTGCATGGTGTTCAACCTCTTCTCAACAGCTGCCATGACGTCAAGTACATATATTCTTGACATATATATGCGCAGATTGTACGCAAGAGTTAGCCTATATCTTACACCTTGCGGGCAAGTGCGGCTTGAATCACGTACTAATTGCATGACGTGTTTGTCCATATTGTATCTGGTTGAAGCACTACGTACAGCAAAAAGGTACAACACTCGGTGTAGCATGCGCATACTCCCATGGCCGAACTGTATGCATGATCGCTGCAACAGGCTTGAACATGAGCTAGCTCACATGTCCGGCCTGACTTGATAGCAAGCTCTAGCGCGTGCTTCCATTGACCATGCATGCACGTGCTTATCACGTACTGGGGTGCAACCACGTACCAATCTTGATTGCATGTACGTACGCTCCGCGTGCTTATGCAACCGTCCATTTAGTAGCTAGTCATTTGGCCGAGCTAAAGCTAGCCCGGCTGGACTCCGTTTGAATGCCCAATGTGATCAGACGCCAACCTCGGGGTTAGTGCAGCCTGGCGAGTCTCCTGCGCTGTGGCCCAGGCCCGTCCAACAAGCGCATGAAATTGGACGTTGAATAAGCAAACTTGAGCCTCGAGAACCTTCAATTTCAATGTTTTCGATTCGAAGCGCAAATTTATGCGGATGCAACAAAGCTCGCCTTTTAGAGGATGCTGGGTAAATTGTGCACAATCCTACATTCGGCAGACATGCCAGTGTAAAGGAAGCTCGTCTGCATGTAAAACGCCTTCATATATATTCCGACCTCACCCTCCCTTTAGCTCGCGAAAGGCATCGATTTCATTAGCAACAAAGCATGCACGCACCACATCTAGTTCATCGTGCACGGCCGGAAGAAATCAGTTCAGGCGCAATACAAATTTAAGCTCAGACTTTGTATGGTAACGGGAGACTCACCGCTCGCATGAGCGGCCCGTCCTTGCAACTATTCGCTTTGAGATCCCCGGTTAGGGACAGACGCGTGCTCCAGTAGCAAGGACTCTCCACTTGCCAAACTTGGTTTACATACTTCTGTAGACGTGGCTGTCGGACGGAGTACTCGAACCACCCGCACGGTGGGTCTGCTACGGGATATTCACAAGGGTACAGGACAGCGGCATCCGCAAGAGCAACACGAGCCTGCCTGTCAACGGCAGAGGCGGCGCGCGCCCCTCATCGGCGCGAGAAGAAGCCTCGCCGTCGAGTCTTCTCGTCCTGGTACTGCACAGCACAACACCGCCGCGTTAGCCTCAGCGCGCACGCATGTGGGAGCGCCATCCCCCGCCCGCTTTCACTTGTGCTGGTGATGCACCGGGAGTGAGCGCGGCGCAGCGCCGTACCTGGAGGTGCGCGTCGACAAAGTGGCGCAGCGTGAGCACGGCGAGGTCGCGGGCGCGGTTGTCGATGCAGTCGAGGTCCATGCGCCGCCCGCCGCTGATGTGGATGAGCAGCACGGTGGCCTCGTTCACCGCGATCTCCGCCTGCACCTCGCCGCTGTACGGCTCCTTGATCACGCCGTGGCTGCCGCGCTTGATGGCCAGGCTGCGCCGCTCGATGCACAGCTCGTGTTCCACGTTGTTGTGCGCGTCCAGCACCGTGAAGCGCGCCTTGCCGCTCGCCGCGTACCCCGTCAGCAAACTGGACGTCGCCTCGTCTGCAGCCACGCACGCACAGCGCAATCAGGCCCACACGCCCACGCAGCGCGCGGCACCCACAGCACACCCGCGAGAAGGAACAGCAGGGGCTGACGGGCAGACGGGGCAGAGGGGCCGGGGCGGACTCACCAATGGGAATGGGCTCGCCGTTGTTGGCCGCGGCGTTGACCACCTCGCCCTGCACACCGCCAGCAGCACGCACGGCGCGTCAGGCACGCACACGAGAGCGCACGCAGGCAAACAGAGGCGGGCAAACCGTGTGGCGCACAGGGCCGCACGTGCAGCACAGCGCGAGGAGGGGGGCGGAGCGGCGGGGGAGCGCGGGGCGCACCTTGCGCCCGCGGTCGTCGACGGGGAGGCACTCGACGGTGATCTGGCAGCGCGCGTCGTCCGCGCTCACCAGGTATTCGGGCTGCTTCGCACCTGCGCACGCAGCGGGGCATTGAGCCCCTTTTGCCAGGGTCTCTTCTGCGTCAACCAGATGTGACGCTGCCGCTCTCCAGGTGCTCTCTTCAAAGGCATTGGCAGGACAGTCCTATGCCATACTCTCCCTGCTGGGGGCAGAGAGCCTCCGCCACACACGAACGACAGAACAATCTTGTTGATGCCTCAGAAGGTGGCACGAGAGTAGGTCAAAATTCGAACCAGCTGACGATCCATTGTCGGGTATAACAATAGAAACGGAACATACGAGCGGATCTGAATCCGTTTTTTCGGAGCAATGCATCGTCGGCCGTACCTTCGATGAGGTACGCCGCGCCGTCCTGCTTGTGCCGCACCCACTGCACATGCCACGTCACACGATGCGTCAGCCGCTGCACAGGACGCGGCCCCGCTCACGTGAGCATCAGCGCAGTCTCAGCGCGGGGCTGCGGCCGAGCGCCGCTTGCGGCGCTGGGCGGGCTCACCTGGAAGTAGCAGAGCGAGCTGCCGTACACGGAGTGGCCGCACGCGGTCAGCTTGCCGCCCAGCACGGCCTCGCCCGCGATCTTGAGGTTCAGGATCGCCGGCAGCGGATCTGCACACCACCACACCGCACGGCCGCCTCAGCAGGAGAGCGCAGCAGCAAGCGTGGCAAGCCCCACCCGTCTCTCCTCGCCCAGACACACGCGCCGTTGCAGCAGCCGCACCGTGCGGCCGCCTGCGCCTCACCGTCGTCCTGCTCGTCATCCTGCTGCTGCTGCTGTGCGCCGCCGCCGCCGTCATCGTCGTCGAGGCCGCCCGCTGCGGCGCCGTCCGCGTCCTGCACCTCCGCCAGGCTGCTCATCTGCACACCGCACAGCAGACGCCCTTCTCAGCCTCGCGCGGGCTGGGGCTGGGGGCACGAGACGCAGGCAGCGCAGGCAGCACAGGCAGCAGGTCGCAGCATGCTGGCGCGGCGCGGGTGGCACTGACCTGCCAGGTGGACGGGTCGTGGCTGGCGGCCAGGCCGCGCTGCGGCGAGGCCATGCTGTCCAGCAGATTGCGCTGGCTGTCCCGCAGGCTCGGCCCCC